TGGAACCTGTCCTGGAATTTGCTTGTAGACCAGGATGGTCTCGAACTTACAGAGATCTGCCTGCCTCTGCCTCCCAAATTCTGGGATTAAAAGTGTATCCCACCACTACCCAGCCATGTTATATACTTATCTTATTGCATACACCTATTTATACTTTATAAATATACATATATTTTATCACTTTTCAACCTTTGGGCTGTGATCCTGTCTAAATATATGTTCGTTAATTAACTATCCTGTGCAAGGAATTGCTCTGCATACTTAGAATAATATGCAATGAACAAAATAGTCAAAGGGCCTTACCTTCATAAAGCTGGCCCTATAATAACAAGTAATAGACAATAGGTGTCTTCAGTGTATAACATGTAGGATAGGAGCAAAACTTCATGAGAAAAGGCTTGGGGTGCTGATCAGTGGCTAGAGTGCTTGCCTACCATTTGTAGTCCTGTAGTCTCCAGTACCAGCAGTTCCCCTCTCCCCACCCAACCCAGAACAAATGAAAAAAACCACTTAAATGGAAAGTAAAATGCAGATAGGTTACAGTTAAGTTGGTGAGATAAGGGTAGATCTTACTGTGAAGGAGAAATTATATATCTCAGGTTAACTCTGAATTTATGGTGCAAACAAAGATGACTTTGATCCTGCTGCCTCAATCTCCTGGGTGCTGGGATTACAGGCATGAGCCACCATGTCCAGATTATGTAAACAGGGCTCCTTGAACACTAGACAGGCACTCTGCTGACTGAGCTGCAACCCAACCCCCTCCAGTCCTTAAGAAAAAACTACATGCATGTCATGTACATGTGTCTGGTATCTGTGTGTGTGTGTGTGTGTGTGTGTGTGTGTGTGTGTGTGTGTGTGGTGGTGGTCATACTTGCGTGCTTGTGGAGAGGCTAGAGTACAATGTCTGGTGTTGGTCCTTGCCTTCTACCTTGTTTGAGGAAGGTTCTTTTGTTTGCTGTGTGTACACCCCGCTAGCTGGCCCCCCCTAGCCAATGAGCTTCCAGGGATTCTCCTGAAAGCTCTCTGCCTGCCATGTCTTGCTGTGCTCTGTTAGGAGCAGTAGGATCACAAATGCATGCCACTTCATCCTCAGGACCAGACATCACCCAGCCTGCCTCTAGCCCCTTTTAAAGTTTTTGTTTGAAGAAAGGTCTTGGATGCTGGGTGGTAAATAGCACACGCCTGTAAGCCCAGTGCTCAGAGGCAGAGGCAGGCAGATCTTTGTGACTTTGAGGCCAACCTGGTCTACAAAGCAGAGTTCAGGACAGCCAGGGTAACACTGAAAAACACTGCCTCAAAAGGATAAAAAGACAGGAGGCAAAAAAACAGGTCTTGGTAAACTGCTCGACTAATCTCAAATTTGATATCCGCCCTCTTGAAGCCTTCCCAGTGTTGGGACTAAAGGCCCTGCTACCACATGTGCCACCATGCCAAAAGTTTAAAGACTTAAATTTTTAAAAAATGTATTGTGAGCTAGGCGTTGGTGGCGCATGCCTTTTAAAAATTTTTTAAAATATTTTTATTTATTGTATATGCAGCCTTCTGCCTGCAGGCCAGCAGAGGGTACCAGATCTCATTCAAGGTGGTTGTGAGGCACCATGTGGTTGCCAGGAATTGAACTCAGGACCTCTGGAAGAACAGTCAGTGCTCTTAACTGCTGAGTCATCTCTCCAGCCCAGCGCATGCCTTTTAATCCCAGTACTCGGGAGGCAGAGGCAGATCTCTGTGAGTTCGAGGCCAGTCTGGTCTACAGAGCGAGTTCCAGGACAGCCTCCAAAACAATACAGAGAAACCCTGTCTCGGAATTGTGTCAATATATGATGGGGTGGGGCACATGTCACAGAATGTGAGCGAGAGCGAATGTGGGGGGGGGGGAGAGGGAGAGAGACTCAGAGGACAGCTGTGGTGTGGGCTCCCTCCTTTAACCTTTATGTGGTTCCTGGGTATTGAACACAGGTTGCCAGGCTTGTGCAGCAAGCACTTTACCCACTGAGTCATCTTTCTCAGTTAAAAGATGTAAAAAAAAATTTGTCACTATGTGTTTGGGTATGTGCACATGAATGCAGGTTACAGTGTAGCTCAGAGGTGTCAGATCCTCCTGGAGCTGGAGTTACAGGCAGTTGTGAGCCACCTGACCTGAATGCTGGGATTCTCCAGTTCTTTGCAAGAACAGTACACACTCTTAACTGCTGAGCCATATTGGTTTCCCATTTCAAAAACTTGAAGGCATCAGGGGAGTTAAGCTTGGGAGAATGTTTTGGGTAGAGAGAATGGCTACTGCTAATAAGTCTTGTGTGTTTGAGGAACAGCATGGAGACCAGTATAGCTAGAATGGGATAATAAGTACAAAAGAGGTAGGAAACGAAAAGTGGGGTGAGGGAATGGCCATCTCATGGGCTCTGGTTAGGGTTAGGAACTTGTGCTTCTATTCTATATGAGAAGCCATTGCAGCAGTTTCTTGTTTTAAGATTTTTTTTTGTTGTCGTTTTTGTTTAGAGATGGGATTTCTCTTTGTAACAGTCATGGATGTGCTGCAACTCGCTCTGTAGACCAGGCTGGCCTCAAGCTCGGAGATCCGCCTGCCTCTGCCTCCTGAGTGCTGGGATTAAAGGAGTGCTCCACCATTGCTAGTTGCAGCATTATCAATATAGGACTCACATGTTCTTAACTCCTATTTTACTGTAATAACTAGGATTGCTGTTTTGAGAACAAGAAATCCGGAAGGCCACAATAGTCAGAACAGTTAGAAATGAGAGAGATTGATCATACCAGGACTGTAGCACTGGAAGTCAGAAGCCATTGAGACCTGATGTGCCCTGATGGTAGGTCCAGTAGGAGTACCTCATGGAAGACTAAGAGAACAAGTTAGGTTTTGACGGGAGCAACTGTAAAGACAGTTGCAACGGGGCAGATTGCAGGTATAGAGGGGTTTTAGTGAGCAGAGCTGTTTTGCTTTGGTAAACTTTCCTATTGTGAATAGCCTGGCGGGTGTGTGAGCCTGATGTTGAACAGAAGAGGACCCAGCCCTGAGTCTTGACTGTAGAGTGACAGCAGGTGACAAGGAGGAAACATGGCAGTGGACAGACAGGAAGGTGAGGGAAGTGGTGCAGGGACAGATGAAGGAAAAATGTGCACCAGGGAAATTCAAGTTTCTTTCCACCTAGAGCAGTGGTTGTCAGCCTGTGGGTTGTGACCTATTTGAAGGGTTTAAAGACCCTTTCACAGGGGTCACCTGAGACCTATCTGCATATCAGATATTTATAGTACAATTCATAACTGTAGCAAATTACAGTTATGAAGTCGTAATGAAAAGAATTCTGTGTTTGGGGGTCATCACAACAGGAGAAACTGTATTAAAGGGTTGAAGCCTTAGGAAAGTTGAGAACTGCTTCCTAGAGGATCATGATGGTAATTATAGTCTTCTTGGGAACCAGTGCTTTTCCTATAATATATTCTGATATTCTTCGTTTGTTTAAAAAAACAAACAATGGGTCTTATATAGTCCAACTGCTGTCTCAAACTCCTAGTGGAGGCAAGCCTCTTGACTTTTTGAGGCAAAATTTTATTTTGGCCATGTTGACCTTTATCTCCAGCCTCAGCCTCCAGAGTGTGGGAATTAAGGTGTAAGACAACACACTTAGGGTTTATCTTAAAATGTCTGCTCAGTGTTTTAAAACACAGGACAGATGGACTCTCTTGTAGTTCAACGTACATAATAAGCTCAGAGGCGGGGCAGTGGAACTCTAAGATTTCAGCTTTTTTGTTTTGTTTTGCTTTCCAAGACAGTTTCTTTGTGTAGTCCTGGCTGTCCTGTAACTTACTCTGTAGACCAAGCTGGCCTCGAACTCACAGAGATCTCCCTGCCTCTGCCTCCCAAGTGCTGGGATTTAAGGCATGTGCCACCACCAAACCCGCATTTATTTTATTTTTAAGTGTGGTATTGTTTTACCTACATGTATGGCTGTGTGAGGGTGCTGGATCCCCTGGAGCTGGAGTTAAAACTGTTGTAAGTTGCCATGTGGGTGCTGGAAATTGAACCTGAGTCCTCTGGAAGAGCAGCCAATGCTCTTAACCTCTGAGCCATCCGTCCATCCCCAGATTTCAACTGTGTTGAGGAAAAGAAAAATAGCGTTAGAGGGAAGGTGTCTGAATACAAAGAGCCTTGTGTTCAGGGGTTGGTACAGTGGCAAGGGAAGTGCTGTGGTAGCAGACAAGGCCATTCACTAACAGCCACAGGTTAAATAGAAGCGTCTGAGTTCCTGTGGAGGAAAGCAGAAGTGAAAGATTTTTACAAATTGTTTTAAGCAGCCCAGTGTGGTGGTACATACCTTTAATTCTAGCACTTGGGAGGTAGAGACAGATTTCTCAGTTCTCAGCTAGCCTGGTCTACAGAGCTAGTTCCAAGACAGCTGGAACTACACAGAGAAACCCTTTCTGGGAGAAAAAAATGTTTTAGATGATTTTACATCCTGCCGGAGTATGGCTTTTCATGCCTGCCGTTTATATCTTCAGCAGAGAAGTTTTGAAACTTGTATGACCTGGTGTTTGAGGTAAAAAAAGACTCTTCTCTTGAGGAATAAGTTTAGGGCCATCCTGGGTGACGCGGAAACAGTTTCCTAGAAAAATAAGCATAAAAATAAAACTGGCTCAGTTTCAGTGTGGATGATGGAAGCCCATGCTCTGTAGATGGATGATGGCAGTGGTTGTACAGCATCTGATGCCACTGAATTGTGTGCTTAGTGGTTACAATGCAAGCAAAACCCAAACCCTTTCTTCTTTGAAGGTTACCTAGCTAGGGTGGTTGTCATCTTGATGGTTGTGAGCATGAGTACACAGAATAGTAGGTAGACACCAAAGCTGCATCACTTGACGAAGTGTCCAAGCTGCCTATTACCTTCCAGTGGTGTACATGGTGGAAACTCGCAGCAGGGAAACTGACTTGCCAGATGTTTTCATTCCCTTTCTTGATTCTCATCTCCTTTTTTCTATTGTTCTAGGACAGAACAGTAAGCTAAGCAGACTCTGACCATTGGCCTCCCTCCCATCAGCCAGGATCAACCTATCTCTTTGTTTGTGGTCCATGAGCTGCATCATCTACCATCATTGTGCAACTGGCCCCCAACGCAATGTGTGTTTGTCAAACCATGGAAGTGGGGCAGTATGGCAAGAATGCAAGTCGGGCCGGAGACCGAGGAGTCCTCCTGGAGCCCTTCATCCATCAGGTGGGCGGACACAGCAGCATGATGCGGTACGACGATCACACTGTGTGCAAACCTCTCATCTCCCGCGAACAGCGCTTCTATGAGTCTCTCCCTCCTGAAATGAAGGAATTCACCCCTGAATACAAAGGTCAGTCAGTGATCCTTTTTGTGAGACTAGCAGCCTTTGACTGACAGGCTTTTAGCTCAGTTGTCCTTGTTTTGTTTGCCCTATAATATGGTTGTAGTTCTCTCTTATCTCTATTTTGTTAGGCAAAATTAGAAACTGAAATAAACAGGAAGGTTTTCAGATCACGAACATTGAATTAATTGTTAGTAAAGCTGAGAAAAATTTCACAGCATGAAAACCCACTGACAAAGAAGCCTATTGTTAAGGAGTTCCTTGTTTGCCCACAGATCTTGGGGAGCTGGGGACAGTTCTTTGGTCTCTGAGGAGGATAGAGGGATACTTTGCAGGCTTTAAAGTGGTTGTACAGCTGGCAAAGGCATAGTGTGGTGGGTGTGGTATTGTGTCTTTTGTGCAGTAGAAACATGCTTATGGAATATTCTGGTGCCCTGAAGTTTTAACAGTTGGAACTGTTTTAAGATAAGAACTAATTTTACAGAACAGAAAGAACCCTGTGACTATTGAAGTCAGGCCACTTTACCATCTGATCTTTGCATTCTGTATGTACATTAATTACTGTCTGGTCAGTTTTGTTGTTGTTTGGTTTTGCTTTTATTTTGTTTTACTTTATTTTTAAAGACAAGATTCTTTATGTAGCTCTTGTTGTCCTGGAACTCACTATGTAGACCAGACTGACCCTTGAACTCACAGAGATCCACCTGCTTCTGCCTTCTGAATGTTAGGATTAAAGGCTTGCATTGATACACTTGGCCTATCCAGCTGTCTTAATCAGTGTTCTATTGCTGTGAAGAGACACTATGACCACTGCAACTCATAAATGAAAGCATTTAATTAGGCCTGGCTTACAGTTTCAGAGGTTTAGTCCATTATCATCATGATAGGACATGGTGGCATGCAGGCAGACATGGTGCTGGAGAAGGAGCTAAGAGTTCTACATCTTAGCTAGGCGTTGGTGGTGCACGCCTTTAGTCCCAGCACTCGGGAGGCAGAGGCAGGCAGATCTCTGTGAGTTCGAGGCCAGCCCGGTCTACAGAGAGAGTTCCAGGACAGCCTCCAAAACAATACAGAGAAACCCTGTCTCAAAAAACAAAAAAAAAAAAAAAAGAAAAAGAGTTCTACATCTTGATCTGCAGGCAACAGAAAATGAACTGTTTCACTGGGTGTAATTTGAGCATAGGAGTCCTCAAAGCCCACCCCCCCACAGTGACATACTTCCTCCAATAAGGCCATGCCTACCCCAACAAAACCACATCTCCTAATAGTGCCAATCCCTATGGGGGCCATTTTCTTTAAGATCACTACACAAGGCATTTTTAAAATTAAGCTATTTTCTATGTATTGGTGTTTTGCCTACCTTTATGTCTATGTGATGCCTGTGTGCCTGCAGATGCCCGAAGAGTGTGTTCCCAACCTTTGGAACTGAGATACAGATGGTTTTGAGCTGCTATATGAGTGCTGAGAATTGAACTTCCGGGAGAGTGGTCAGTCCTCTTAACCACCAACCCATCTCTCCATCCCTGTATATGAGTGACTGCATATACATACACATGCAGAGGTCAGAAAGGGGCATCAGTTCCCCTGGAACTGGAGTTACAGATGGTTGTGAGCTACCATGTGGATGTAGGAAACCAAACTCAGGTCTTTTGTAAGAGCAGCAAGTGCTCTTAACTGCTAAGCCATCTCTCTGGCCCCGTATATATTTTTATGACTGCCCATTCTAAATTTGTTTTGTTTTTTGGAGATAAAGTTTCACTATCTCACCGTGTAGCCCTGGCTAGCCTGGAATATGCTTTGTAAACCAGGCTGGTTTTGAATTTACAACTGACAGAAGTTGACTTGCCTCTGCCTCCTGAGTGCTGATAATTAAAAGTATGTGACACCACACCTGGCTATAAAGTAATCTTTTTGTTTGTTTGTTTTTTTGTTTTTTACGAGGCAGGGTTTCTCTGTATTGTTTTGGAGGCTATCGGTCCAGCCCAGCCTCGAACTCACAGAGATCCGCCTACCTCTGCCTCCCGAGTGCTGGGATTAAAGGCGTGCGCCACCACCGCCCGGCTAAAGTAATCTTTTTTACTTAATGCTTTTTAAACTTAAAAAAAATTTATTTAGCGCGGTGTTGGTGGCCCACGCCTTCATTCCAGCACTCGGGAGGCAGAGGCAGGTGGATCTCTGAGTTCGAGACCAGCCTGGTCTACAGAGTGAGTTCCAGGACAGCTTCCAAAGCCACAGAGAAACCCTCTCTAGAAAAAAAAATTATTTATTTATTGGGATGTGTATGTATGTGTGTGTATTTGTATATGAATACCAGTGTGTGTGTGTATTGGGGTGTGTGTGTGTGTTCGTGTATATCAAGGGGTGTTAGATTCCTCTGAATTGATAGGTATTTGTGGGACAAGGGCCTGTCCTTTGTGGGTGCTGAGATCTGAACTCTGATCCTCCTGATGGACAGTAGACACTATTAATTGCTAAGCCATCTCTCTAGCCCTTGTAAACTTGTTTAAAACCAGGCTGAAGAGATGGCTCAGTAAATATGAGCATGTGCTCTTGCAGAGGACCTGGATTTGGCTCATAACGTCCACATGTCAGCTCCCAACTGCCCATAGCCCCAGTTCTTGGGGATTTACTGCTACTCTTCAGAGTACTTCAGTGTGCTGGGTGCACTCAGTACACATAGTCAGAACATTCATACATATAAAATAAGAGAATACATCTTTCAAAAGTTAAGAATTAGTTACGATTTTAATTATGTTAATGTGTTTTACTTAGGAGAATTTCAATTTAGAACAAGCAATCCAAGTAAGAGTTGCCTTTTGCCCGGGGGGGTGGGGGTGCACGCCTTTAATCCTAGCACTGGGGAGGCAGAGGCAGGTGGATCTCTGTGAGTTCGAGGCCAGCCTGGTCTACAGAGTGAGTTCCAGGACAGCTAGAGCTGTTATACAGAGAAACCTTGTTTTGGAGATAGGGTGGGGGGGTGTTGACTTTTGATTTTTTGTTTGTTTGTTTTTTGTTTTGTTGTTTTTTGAGACATGGTTTCTCTATGTAGCCTTGGCTGACCTTGAACTCACAAGAGATGCACCTGCCTCTGCCTCCCAAGTGCTGGGATTAAAAGCATTTTCCACTACTTCCTGGCTGACTTTTGATTCTTTAACTCTGAAAAAATGTTATGGTAAAATAATAATAAAAAGGTTACCATTTTAATGTATAATTTAATGGCATTAGGTACTCATTGTGAAACAAATATTCAGAACATACTAAATAAAAACCACCCTGCTCTACCTGTATCTGAGCCCTGGTAACCTTGAGTCTACTTTTTTCTCTACAAAATAATGTAAATATTTCATATAAGCATAATCATACTTTTTTGTCATTTTTGTATCTGACTAATTTCACTTAGTTTTTTTTTTGTTGTTGTTGTTGTTTTGTTTTTTTCCCAAGACAAGGTTTCTGTTAACAGCCCTGGCTGTCCTGGAACTCACTTTGTAGATCGGGCTGCCCTCAAATTCACAGAGCTCTGCCTGCCTCTCTCTGAGTGCTGAGATTAAAGGCGTGTGCCACCACTGCCTGGCTCACTCAGCATATTTTAAGTCCATCTATTTGGTAGCATGTCTTTAAAGTTCATTTGGGGTTAGCTCAGTGGTAGAGTGCTTACCTCACATGAGTGAGGTCCTGGGTTTGATTGCAGCACCACAAATAAATCAAAATTTAGGAGAAAAACATGTACATGTTTGTCGGCACTCCTGTGCTGTGGCATACATGGAGAAGACAGAGGGCAGCTTTCAGTGATTACTTCTCTCCTGCCACTACATAGATTCCAGGGATTGGTCTCATGCCATCAGGCCTGGCCACAGGTTCCTTTACTCAATGAGCCATCTCACAGGCCCTCTTAAAAATTTTTAATGAGGACTGGAGAGATGACTTGGTGGTAAGAGTGTTTACTGCTGTTTTTAGGACCTACCCAGCACCCACATGGAGGGTATAACCATAAAATAAAATTTGAAAAATGTCTAATTCTTTTGGATGTTGTTAATAATGCTGCCAAGTACAAAGATCTGAGTCCTACTTTTTAGTTCTGATGTGCATACTTAAGATTGCGGTGGCAATTCTGTATTTACCCTTTTTGTTGTTTTGTTTTTGTTTTGTTTTTCGAGACTGGGTTTCTCTGTGTAGCTTTGGAGCTCACTCTGCAGACCAGACTGGTCTCAAACTTGCAGAAATCCACCACTGCCTGGCTTACCTTTTTTTGTTTCTTTTCCTCTCTCTCTCTCTCTCTCTCTCTCTCTCTCTCTGTCACTCTCTGTCTCTCTCTCTCTGTCTCTGTCTCTCTGTTTCTTTTTTTTTCAGTACTGGGATTTAAACCTAAGGCTTGAATAGGCTAAACAAACACTCTACCACTGAATTCTACCACTGAATCATATCTCTATTCCTTGTTTGTTTTCATTTTTGTTTTGAGAATGCTAGGGAGTAGTCTATCAACTGATCTGTGTCTTCAGACCCTGGTTTTTAGTTGGTAAAGAGCTGAGGCAGTTTTTAGACTACCTCAGCTTGGGTTTTATGGTGATGACTTGTTTTTACCTCTGTGTTTACTTGTACTTGGGATTGTGTTCCCTCTTGTCCACAGCTCTGCTCATCCCTCAGATACTCCTAATCACCCTGTGCTAAATACTCTGCTTTATCATTTGCAATTACACAACCTCATCTAGTTTCTTCACAGTACTTCTTGCCATCTGTAATTGTTTTGTACATGTTTATTTACTTGTCAGAAGGTAAAGATAGGATGGAAGGAAATGCCTTCCTTGTGAATGGAGGCATCTGTGGTTACCTTTGTACATAGTGATGGAACAGCACCTCCCTTAATCCCAAGGACTAAGATGAGGTTGTCTATGTCCCTCTATTCCTAGTAAGCGCTTACTAGGAGTTTTAGCCTGTGCAGATACACCTGAGTTGGAAAGGAAAACATAAAATTGCATTTGCAACGAACATAGAACTGTTTCTTCAGCTAAACTATTACTTCAACAAAAGATTCAGAAAATTTATGTCCCAGAAATTTCTTAGGGAATTCCTTGAAGGATATATTCTAGCCACACAAAGAATAAATGAATATGGGAAAAATAGGGCTGAAAGAATGGTTCTTCTCTGGAAGTGTGTGATAGTGCTGGGCACAGCCAAGATTAGAGTGTGAGGGAGCTCCCAGAAACTAAGACTCTAGACTGGAGGGAGTTCAACCTTGAACCAATTTGAAAGTGGTGGCAGCTTGCCAGAGAGACAGTCATATAATATAAATGGACAGTTGTGTGTGTGATGCCCTCTGAGGCATAAGTTTGAGCAATATGTAAGATGTAAGGAGGAAATAATCCATTCCTTTGATTTTTGGAAGGATTTTTCTTCTAATAGGACCCAGAAACTGATGCAGTGCTGGCCTAGAGAAGGAAATGAGTGGAGAGAACACTCTTGGTCTTGCATATTGACATGTTTGTAAGTGCATCTCATCACTCATTGCAGATTACAGAGCCGGCCGGCTGTGTACAGCAAGAAGGTAAAAGTAGAAATGTAGCTGATGGATACTAGGTGGGTTATGGAAGTTAGATAGAGAGTAGATTTGTTCGTTTTTCATTTTTAAAAAACTTGTTGATTAGATTTCTGGGTACTGTTTCTGTTTTATCTTTTCGTAATGATCTGGAAGAAACTGATTTGGTTGGCAAAAAAAAAAAAAGGGAGCTGGAGAGATGACTCAGCAGTTAAGAGTACTTCCTGTTCTTGCAAAGGACCAAGGTTTGGTTTCCATTATTCACATAAAGGCTCACAGATACCTTTTATTCCCATTCAGGGGAGCTAATGCCTTTTCTTGGCTTTGTGTGATACATTTGCAGTCATATAGCCAAAACACACATACTGGGAGTGGTGGCGCACACACCTTTAATCCTAGTATTTGGGGAGCAGAAGCAGGTGGATCTCTGATCTGTGATTGGAAGAGGCCAGAGTTATATAGTGAGAGTTAAAAAAAAGACATGGTTGAGCACACTTGTAACCCTAGCACTTGGGAAGTGGAGGCAGGAAGAACAGTTAAAGGTTATCATCTACATCATAGTAAGCTTGAGGTCCGCCTGGGCTACCCAACAAAAATTAAAAATGGAGAAAACAAATTATTTATTCCATGGGAGCCCGGCGTTGGTGGGACATGCCTTTAATCCCAGTGGATCTCTGTGGGTTCGAGGCCAGCCTGGTCTACAGAGTGAGTTCCAGGACAACCTCCAAAACAATACAGAGAATCCTGTCTTGAAAAAAACCTACATAAATAAATAATTCCATGGGATATGGTAGGGAAGTACAGGAAGGCATTTCACCTTAGACATTCTAGGCTAGAAGTTATGTGTGGGAAGCTAGGAACACATTGTGCTCATTGTGGGAAGAAATACTTTATATGAGCACTGTCTTGGAAATAGTTTGTTTCTTTAGGTGACACTGTCAGGCAAAAGAAAAACAGATCTAATGATGTCACTGACAAGATGTGGGACCATCTTAAAGCTGTTGAATAGAAAGAGGGTTAAATTTTTGCATAAAGTATGTTTTGAAAAAAAATTTTTTCCTTTCAAGACAGGGTTTCTCTGTGTAGCCCTGGCTGTTCTGGAACTTGTTCTGTAGACCAAACCAGCCTCAAATTCACAGAGATCTACCTGTGTGGATCTGCCTCTGCCTCCTGAGTACTGGGGTTAAAGACTTGCACCAAGACCACTTCACTTTGGAAAAGATTTTATTTTTGTTTTATATATGTGAGTGTTTATGTGTGTGTGTCTGTATACTACATGCATCCCTGGTGCTCATGGAGCCAGAAGAGGGCACCAGATCCCCTGGAGTTGGAATTACAGTTGTGAGCTACTATGTGGGTGCTGGGAATTGAGCCAGGGTCCTCTACAAGAGCAGTCAGTGCTCTTGACTACTGAGCCATGTCTCTGACCCCTAGAGCATTAAAATTTTTCTGGTTTGATGTGACCTAGAGAAGATTCTTTGTGAGTGGTTCAGAAACTAATAACTGAAAACAGAAGGTAGGAAATAATTATAGATTTATAGATTTATCCTCAAAGGTAAACAGCAGATTGAAGGTAAAATGGTTCTCTGTCTTTGCAAAATGGATGTCTGTTGGCTGTTATTTCTAGTGGATTCACAGTTGAGTCAGAACAGGTGCTGTCCATGTCCTGTGGTAGAGCAGGAACAGCATGGACCACACTGGTGTTGATATTTGTTAATCAGCTGCTTTTCCCCAACAGGCGTTGTTTCTGTCTGTTTTGAGGGGGACAGTGATGGTTACATCAACTTGGTAGCCTACCCTTACGTGGAAAGTGAGATTGTAGAGCAAGATGACACACCAGAACGGGAGCAACCGCGACGTAAACACTCCCGCCGGAGCCTGCATCGGTCAGGCAGTGGTAGTGACCACAAGGAGGAGAAAGCCAGCCTGTCCTTGGAGACCACTGAGAGGTAAGAGGATAAATGCAGAGGTGCTGGCACATGCTGACTCCTAATGGTACACACAGGACAGTGTTAGAGTTGTGACACATAAGTATAGTTCGCATAATAAAAACCCAGAGACAGACACTGGGGTTAAAGCTGAAGATCAGAGAAGCGAAGCAGCCAGTAGAGAGCTCTCACCTCTACCAATGCTCAGACCACAAGTGTGATCCTGTCCTCAGACTGCACCCCCAGACTGCATCTGTTTTCACCAAACCTCAGACTGCACTGAGCTCCTGTCTCCTCTCACCTTGTATTCCTTTCTAGTGCTGGGACTAAAGGTGTGGGATCCCAAGTGCTGAGGTCACCTTTGTGTGAGCTCTGTTTCTCTTAGAGTGGATCAGTTTCATGTAGCCTAGAGTGGCCTTGAATTAACAGATCTGCTGCCTCTCAAGTGTTGAGATTAAAGGTGTAGCCACCACTGCCTGGCCTCCATGTAACTATGTAACTTGTGTGTCTGACTTTGCACTCTAATCTTTAAGTAAGCTTTATTTGTTAGATCATAAACACAATATCTCCACAGATGAGAAGGTTGTTCTTAACAATAGGATGATGGTGGGTGGGGGTGGCTGGCGTTTGTGGGGCCACTCCCACAGATGCCACCTCCTTTATGTTCTACGACCTCAGTGATGTTGCCTTAGTATGGCTAAGCCCAGTTAAGAAAGAACAAAGCTCTGTCAGCCCTTTAGAGTCAGGGATGCCTTATGCTCATGGTGATAGATTAGTTAGCTTTCTTTTAAGTTTTATACTCAGAAGTCAGAATTTGAATTACACTGATCAGCTACTTCCTTATTTGTAGGATGTCTGAGCATGGAGTGGTGATAATTCATACAGACTTAGTACCTTAGTGGCTTTTTGTTCAGATTGAGAAATCTGATATTATTATCCTTTCCCTGCTCCTAAAATTTACATTAGGCATTGCTTTTTCTCAGGGTTATGTCTCTCTCTCTCTCTCTCTCTCTCTCTCTCTCTCTCTCTCTCTCCCTCTCTCCCTTCCTCTCACACTCTCTGTAGACCAGGTTGGCTTTGAACTCACAGAGATTCAACTGCCTCTGCCTCCTCAGTGCTGGAATTAAAGGTGTGCGCCACCACTGTCAGGCAGGACTATGTCTCTTGATATTCCATGCAGACATTATTTTCTACCCGGTTGAGTATAATACAGAGGATAAACGGCTGGAGAGATGACTCAGAGGTTAAGAATACTAGCTGGTCTTCCGGAGGTCTTGAGTTCAATTCCTAGAAACCACATGATGGCTTACAACCATCTGTAATGAGATCTGGTGCCTTCTTCTAGCCTGCAGGGATATATGCAGACAGAATAGTGTATACATAATTAATAAATATATATTTAGAAATATAAAGGATAACACGAAAGACAATCAAGTGTTGACAGTGGAAGCATGATGGTGCCTGCTTTTGTAACTCAGCACTCAGAAAGCTGAGGCAAGAGGGTTACTGCATGTTTGAACACAGCCTGTGCTCTGTAACAGGTTCCAGAGTAGCTTGGGCTAAATAGTGAGACCTTAGTCAGGAGAGAAAAAAAGTGGCATTAAGAATGCTTCCTGAGGGGCTGGAGAGATGGCTCAGAGGTTAAGAGCACTGACTGCTCTTCCAGAGGTCCTGAGTTCAATTCCCAGCAACCACATGGTGGCTCACAACCATCTATATAATGAGATCTGGTGCCCTCTTCTGGCCTGGAAGCATGCATGCAGACAGAATACTGTATACATAATAAATAAATAAATCTTTTTTAAAAAGTGACCAAATATGTATAACAAAAAAACCATTAAAAAAAAAAAGAATGCTTCCTGGGCCAGGCATGGTAGCATATGCCTTTAATCCCAGCACTCAGGAGGTAGAGGCAAGGGGATCTCTGAGTTTAAGGCCAGTCTGATCTACAGAGTGAGTTCCAGGACAACCAGAGCTACACAGAGAAACCCTGTCTTAAAAAAAAACAAAACAAAACAAAAAAAGAATGCTTCCTGCACTTCTGGAGAACCCAGGTTCAGTTCCCAGCACCCATGTCAGGTCAGGTGACTCAATTGCTTTTAACTCCAACTCCAGGGTATTCAACATCTCTGCAGGCACCTCCACGTACATGGCATACACAGACATATATGTGTATTTTTTTAATTGATTGATGTGGTGATTTATGCTTCTAATCCCAGCACTTGAGAGGCAGAAGTAGATTTCTGTGAGTTCAAGGCCAGCCTGGTTTATATAGAGTTCCTGGTCAGTCAGGGATAGTGAGACCTAGTCTCGAAATTTTTTTTCTGCCAGGCATTGATGGTGCATGCCTTTAATCCCAGCACTGGGGAGGCAGAGGCAGGCGGATCTCTGTGAGTTCGAGGCCAGCCTGTTCTACAGAGTGAGTTCTACAGAGCCTCCAAAACAATACAGAGAAACCCTGTGTCAAAAAACCAAAAAAATTTTTTTTCTTAAATAAAAATACACACACATCCATGTTGTCAGTAATGTTTTGTTTGTGAGATAAGCTTCACTATGTACTTTGAATGACATACAGTTCATGTGTAGATCAGGCTAGCCTCAAACATGGTAATCTCCCATCTCTACCTCTCAAATGCTGGGATTACAGGAATATGCCACCATGTTCAGCCTTGTGCTCCTTTCTGAATATTCCTGGCTGAATATTTCATCATATAGACATACTGCCCTCTTTTGTTTTATCCACTCATCAAGTTGTGATGAACATATCAGGGAGGATATATCTGTGGGAGTGGCCACCCGCTACTCCTGTTGTTGAAGACTATCTCTGTATCTGTTTATAGATATGTAGATAGGTATATGTAGTTTTCTTACATATATATTAATATAGTTATATAGACAGACACAGATGCAGTTCACAAGGATGTAGAGAAATTGGAACCTCCTTGTAGGATGGGTTGCAAAGTGGTACAGCCTTAAATTTCTGTTCTTCCGGTCCCATCTCCTGAGTGCTGGGATTACAGACATTAACTGCCATGCCTGGTTCATGTAGTGCTGAGGAGCGAACTCGGGAATTCTTGCATGCCAAACATATATTCTACCAGCCAAGTTACATCCTAATCATGGGGAAATTTTGTTTTTGTTTTTGTTTTTTTTACAAGATTTATTTTTTGTTTATGAATGTTCTATCTACATGTACACCTGCATGCCAGATGAGGGTATCAGATTCCACTATACATGGTTGTGAGCCACCATGTGGTTGTTGGGACTTGAACTCAGGACCTCTGGAAGAGCAACCAGTGCTCTTAACCACTATGCCATCTCTCCAGTTTCATAGGGATTTTGATGGGGCAGTAAACATTTCATCCCTGGCATCAGATCACATCACTGGAACATGCTGCCACATGAGCTCCTAGAGGCTTGTTCAGGCCCAGAGCAGTCCACTTTCCTCACTTAGGCTTTAAGAGGTCCTGTTAATACTGAAACCTCGTGTGCTTGTTCCTCTCCTGTTCTTTTAGCCAAGTCTATATCTGAGTTGCAAGGAGAGGGCTACAGCCCAACACCCTAGCTAAGATGCATGTCTTGGTGCTGGATATTCTGAGGCCTTCTGCTTGCAAGCGCACTTTCTTTACTTCATCTGCATCATCCATAGGGGCTTCCTCTTAGCCAGCAACTGTGGGGCCTAACTTGGGCATTTCAGTGACAGAACATTCTAGCCAGTAGCTAGAGACTGATAATCTTCTTTTAGCAGTTTTTGGAGGGGGAGTTGTTTTGTTCTCCAAAGTGACAGCATTTGCTTTATGAATCACGGGTGAAAAGCCTCAGTGAATGTATATTTAGCATCAGGCTCTGCTGTGAAGGTGCCAGCTCTGTCTGCATTGACTGGACTCCTATCTGGCCTGTTAGCAAGCAGAGATTCTGAGTCATACCTAAGGTGGAGGTCACGCACCAGGGCCAGGACTATAACTCCAGAGATAATGCCAAGTACTGCAGGGGCCCCATCCATACCTGCAACGTGTCTGGGTTTGCTTAGCAAGTGTTTTCTAAAGTGGACCTGCGTCTATTCTTGGGGAGTGGGGGAAGGGTGATAGGCATTGTTCAGGAGAAAGAAGGTCTTTGCCCAGGGCCTTTTAACAAATGTCACAGAGGTGTCCCAAATGCTTGGTGCTCCAAGGAGGGGCATCGTTTTTTAGCACACCCTAGGCCTGCTGGGTGGTGTGTGTATAGAGGGAGGATAGGCCAGCATTTCTGGAAAGGAAGGGTAACATTTGAAATTGAAATGGTGCTCTGCTGTGTGCCATAGAATTGCTGAGTGGATGGCTTCACTAGCATTGAGGTTTTGTGGACTTGGATTGTGAGAAGTTACATTTCCAGGCTCGTCCGGACCTCACTATGTAGCCCTTGAGCTCCTTGATCCTCCTGCCTCTGTCTCCTGTTAGGGTTATAGGCATGCACTGCCATTGATTGAGCCCATGACCTCAAACAATGGTAGGCAAGCACTCTACTGACTAGACTACAGCCTTAGCCCAACTTGCTTGTAGTTGTTTTGAGTATTTACCTACATGTGAAGTTACAGTCAAGTAACCCTCTTTAACTCCATTTGTGTGTGTGGTGATGGGGTGGATGTGCTTTTGTAGGTGTGCATGCATGTGGAGGCCAGAGGTTGACATCAGAGATCATTCTCTCTTCTACCTTACTCACTGAGGCAGTGTCTCTCATTTAGATTGAGAGCTTACCAGTTCCCCAGTATGACTGGTCTCAATGCTCATACTTAGCTTGCTCTGGGGAATCCCTGTATATTAGAGATCTCTAGAGGAATAGAACTGATATATGGCGATTTATTGGAGTGGCTTACCAGATGTGGTCCAGCTACTCCAGCAATGCCTGTCTACCAATAGAAAGTTAGAGAATCCAGTAATTGTTTAGTCCATGAGTCCATATATCTCAGTTGGTCTTCAGTATATGCAGGAATCCTGAAGAAGTAGGCTCTACTGCCAGTGAAGGAATGAACTTTTCAGCTAGAGTGAAGGCAAGCAGGCACAGAGCAAACACTTCATTCTTCTGTGTCCTCTATTTATACAGGCTCCAGCAGACAGTCTGGCCAGGTTAAAGGAGGTCTCCCCACTTGAAATGATTTAAGAGCAATCCCTCACAAGTGTGCCCAGCTGCTTGGGTTTTAGTTAATTTCAGATACAGTCAAATTGACAACCAACAAGAGCCATCACCCCTGCCTTTGCCTTCTGAAGGTTGAAATTCCAGTCTAGCTATTGCACTCACCCAGCATAACACAGACCGTGGGGTCTGAGCTCCAGTTCTCAACACTTGTGTGATAAGTACTTCGCCACTGAACCATCTTTTTTTGTTTGCTTGTTTTTCGAGACAGGGTTTCTCTGTGTATCTCTGGCTGTCCTAGAACTAGCTCTGTAGACCGGGTTGGCCTCAAACTCACTCACAGAGATTCTTCTACCTCTGCTTCCTGAGTGCTGGGATTAAAAGTGTGTGCCACCACCACCCAATTGATGACCCTGGTTTTTAGGGAGGATTTCTGTGGATTGCCCATGCTAGTCTGGTCTCAAGCTTCCTGTGCTCAAGCAGTTCTGCCACATTAGCCTCCTGAGCCTCTGGGACTCCTGGTGTGCTCAGCACCTGTCCTGTGAAGACACCAGAGTCCTTTTCCAGGGGCTATACTAGTTTACATTCGTCCCAGCAGTGCACAAGGAAGGGCTCTAGCTTCTGCACATCCTACATGGCACTTGTTCTGGTTCTTTTTTTTTTTTTTCTTTGTCTTTTTTTTAAAGATTTATTTATATTTTTATTGTTTTTAATTTTGTATGTATGTGTGTTCGTTCGTTTGTTCGTTCATGTATGGGTATGTGTGCCTGAGTTCAGATGCCTGCAGAGGATACAGGGGTGTTAGATCTTCCTGACCTCTTGCACGGTACAAGCAGTCATGAGTCACCTCATGTTGGTACTGGGAACCAAGCTCCAGTCCTCTGCAAAAGCTGTAGGTATTCTTAACCACTGAGCCATCTCTCCAGCACCTGCTATTCTTTTTTTTTCTTAACCCCACTGCTCTGTCCCCACTATACACACATCGTCTCTATGTACCCTGACTGTCTGGGAATTCATTCTGTTACCAAGCTAGCTTTAAACTCCCAGAGATCTGCTTAACTCTGCCTTCTGAGTGCTAAGATCAAAGGTGTGAGCCACCTGGCCTCTTTTTTTTTTTACTATTTAAATCAAATACCACTTATTATTGGGAATGTGGGTGTGCATGTCCCCCATGTGTGTCTACAGGGCTGAGACGAATTTGTGAAGTTGTTTTTTTCCTTCTATCATATGGGCCTGGGGATCCGACTGGGGCTGCTAGGTTTGTGCTGCAAGTGCCTTTACCCAGTGGCCCATGCTACCAGTATCCGTATTTTTCTTGTGACGCTAATTGAATGGGAAGTGTTATCGTATGCTATAATTTGACATGATTATTTTTCAGGCAGTTTCAGAGGCCCAAGGAGGACAGCTCTCATTCTGTTCACTCACTTTTATCTGGGGCCAGTGCCACCTGTAAGTAGGTTTTGAGTGACAGGCTAGGCTTGTTCTAATCCTTCTCTACCCTGTGTCCCTAAGGATGACTTCTCTGATCTCTTAGTGGTATCTGTGTTCTTCCTTCTTAGCTCCCAGGAGGCCAAGAGTCCGAAAGTGGAGCTACATAGCCACTCAGATGTCCCTTTCCAGATGCTAGACAGCAATAGTGGTCTGAGTTCTGAGAAGATCAGCTACAACCCCTGGAGTCTGCGCTGTCACAAACAGCAGCTGAGCCGGATGCGCTCTGAGTCCAAGGACCGAAAACTCTACAGTATCCTTGTCCACTAATTGGAGATTGTCTGAGAAAATGACAAGATAGTTTTGTTATTGTTCTTGGGGTTTGCTCTGGGGACTGAGTCTAGGGCTTCATCACTGCCCAAGCATTTTCTCTGCCATTGAACTAACTTCTTATTCTCAAGATAGGTATTTTTAAGGTTTTCTGTTAGCATATATTAGACAATAGGTTTTATTATGAGATTTTTATGTGTGTACATAATGTATTTTGATCTTATTCACCATTATGTTCTCTCTCGTCCCTTCCACTAATCATCTTTACAACTAGCTCCTCTTCTGCGTCCCTGTGTGTGTTGTGTGGGGGGCGGGGGTAACTTATTTATAGGAATTTGGGTACCTTATATCCCTGGGAAGAAAAATATCTTTCCCCTCTGAACCACTGACTAAGTATAAAGCCTCAGGGAGGGACGGAGCCCTCTGATCCTCTCTTGCTTCCATGCATGACATGGTATTTGTGGATAGAACTGATCTCACATGGGTAATGGTAACAGTTTCAAGTTTTTTTTCTTTTGTTTTTGGTTTTTGTTTTGTTTTGTTTTGTTTGTTTTTGAGACTGGGTTCTCTGCGTAGCTTTGGAGCCTGTCCTGGCACTCACCCTGTAGACCAGGCTGGCCTTGAACTCAGAGATCTGCCTGCCTCTTCCTCCTGAGTGCTGGGATTAAAGGTATACACCACTGTGCCAGGCTGATTTTTTTTAATATTTTATTTATTTATTGTGTATACAGCCTTCTGCCTGCAGGCCAGCAGAGGGTACCAGATCTCATTCAAGGTGGTTGTGAGCCACCATGTGGTTGCCGGGAATTGAACTCAGGACCTCTGGAAGAACAGTCAGTGCTCTTAACCACTGAGCCATCTCTCCAGCCCCCAGGCTGATTTTTTTAAATTTAATTTCATGTATATGAATGTTTTGCCTGTAGGTATGTATGTGTGCCAGGTGCCTGTGGAGGTCAGAGGAGGGTGTCAGATCCCCTGGAACTGGAGTTAGAGATGGTTGTGAGCCACCATATTGGTGCTGGGAATTGAACCCAGGTCAAAAGAGACAAGTGGTCTGAACTCTCAGTCACTCTCCAGTGCCCAGGAATGAAATTTTGATATATTATATGACATGAGTGAATCTTAAAAGCATTTTACTAAGCCTGAAATAAAAGGATTAATGCTGGAAAATTCTAGTAAATGAGCTGTCTCCAGTAGACAGATTGCTACACACAAAAGTGGAGGTTTCCTGGAGAGTAGAAAGGGCAGATGGGGAGTCAGTGTTCAGTGGGTAGAGATTCAGCTTGGGGAGGTGGACGATAGAGATGCTTTGCCTGCCTCTGCCTCTAGAGTGCTGGCATTAAATGTGTACCCACCAAGCCCAGCCCCTGCTCACTGTGTACAGCAGGCCGGCCTCAAACTCACAGACCCATCTGCTTGTGTCTTGTGAGTGTGGTAGTTGGGATTAAAGGCATGTGCCACCCTTCCCACCCCCACATCTAAGATTATGTGTGATGTGTATTCTACCAAAATATGTTGAAACCAGTAGTTTGAAACTTTCACTTAAGAATTTGTGAGGCACATATAGTTTACAGTGAACCAGAATGCCTCTTGTTTTTAAATTATTTTATTTTACATCCTAAGAGTAGTTTCCCCTCCCTCCTGCCCTCCCATTTCCCTCCTCCTTGTCCTCCCTGCTAATCTACTTCTCTGTTTCTGTTCAAGAGGGTATCAACAAAGCATGACTTACCAAGTTGCAGTGAAACTAAGCACCTCCCCTTGTATTAAGGCTGGATAAGGCAACCCAGTGTGAGGAGTAGGTTCCCAAAAGCCAGCCAGAGTGCCACTGTTCTAGAAAATTGTAATTGTGCTTTCCTGGGTGGAGCTGACAGTGAGTATAGTTGTCATTCTTCTTGACTCTGGTCCAGAGTTCCTCCTGCTTGAGAATGTGGTACACCACTTCAAGTACCCCTGTGTGCTGGACTTGAAGATGGGTACCCGGCAGCATGGAGACGACGCATCAGCTGAGAAGGCAGCCCGGCAGATGAGGAAGTGTGAGCAGAGCACATCTGCTACGCTGGGGGTCAGGGTCTGTGGCATGCAGGTGAGTCACTACTGGTGAGAGCCCAGGTGCTGCTGAGTGCATGCTTTATTGTGCCCATACCTGCCTGACACCTGTGTCCTCCTGGCCTGCGCTGCTCCTGAGTCTGCTCTAAAAGGGTGAGTCACCCACAGGGTGCTGAGTATGTCTTTGCAAGTGGGGTCGCTGAGCCCTGCTTTCCTCACTTGACTTTGATTGAGCTCCATGTGCAGGGTCATTGAGAGAGCCTGTTGCCTTATCACTGGGCAAGTAAAACTTGTCTGTCAGCACTGTGTTCCCAGTTAGAGTCTAGCTGGGCCTGGGACAGCTTGGAGGCAGGCTTCTAAAGTGATGGCTATAGGCCTGGTGTTGGCTTTCACAGCTCCATGACTGGAAAACCTGGGGTGAATGTGGCCTCCCTGCTCCAGTAGGAGGAGCTGAAGAGCTCAGGTTGGTCAGAGTGCCTTCCAGACTTCCTTTGTTTGTTTGTTTGTTTGTTTGTTTGGGTTTTTTGTTTTTGCTTTTGTTTTGTTTTGCTTGGGGACACTTTTTGGCCATCAAACCTTCCTGGTACTCAACTCTGTCTTGTCTCCTGGGGTTTCAGGTATACCAGCTGGACACAGGTCATTACCTCTGCAGGAACAAGTACTATGGTCGTGGACTCTCCATTGAAGGCTTCCGCAATGCCCTGTATCAGTACCTGCACAATGGCCTAGACCTGCGACGTGACCTCTTTGAGCCTATCCTGAGCAAACTTCGGGGCCTCAAAGCTGTGCTAGAACGACAGGCCTCCTACCGCTTCTACTCCAGTTCTCTGCTCGTCATCTATGATGGCAAGGAGTGCCGGTCTGATCTGCGACTCAAGCACGTGGACATGGGGCTCCCTGAGGTGTCACCACCCTGTGGCCCCAGCACTAGCCCTAGCAGCACCAACCTTGAAGCTGGCCCCTCTTCTCCGCCCAAGGTGGATGTCCGCATGATTGACTTTGCACACAGCACATTCAAGGGCTTCCGGGATGACCCCACTGTCCACGATGGGCCGGACAGAGGCTATGTGTTTGGTTTGGAGAATCTTATCAGTATCATGGAACAGATGCGGGACGAGAACCAGTAGGCCCAGATCTGGGCCCTAAGACCCCTTCCTCTCCACCCACAGGCAGGGACCATTGCTCTGAACTTGCTGTGAGGACACACTGACTTGCTTTTAAAGGGTTATATTTCTCTTTGGTGTAAACTAAAAGAAATGTTTTTAGCTGTAGCCTGGAATCCATATATACATACATATATATATACACACACACGCACACACACACGCACACAGTAAAGGAGGGCGGAACATGCATCCCCTCAGCCAGGTTCCTTAGCTTTGTGTCTCTGTCTGCTGTGTCCAGGCTGACTCAGGAAGGAGGAGGTGGCCCAGTGGACTTGGCAGCAGAGACAGAGAATGCCTTTGACCTTTGGTTTTGGGGATCTGTGGCTGTAGGGCTCTGCTGGCTGTGAGGAGAAGCCCTTGACTAGCACAGGGTCTCTCTGTGCCTACTAATCCCTCATTCCCAGAACTGGGGAGGTTAAGTGCCCATGTCGTGAGGTCTTTCTAATTTTGTGCCAGTCTTGAGTAGTTGCCCTCGACATTACAGGGCTGACTGCACAGATGGACTCATCCTTGGGTTTCATTTTGGCATGGGGCTAGATATCTGAAGCTGAGCTAAGGCCAGCAAACAGCAGGGGGCACCCACTGGCATGTAAACTTGCTCCTCTGTCCACAACCCCAGCCAGCCTGCGGCCAAGATCCCTTGCCTAAGGAGGCCACATACCCTCCTTTCCTGCTGAGATGGGCATGGCTCTGTTTGTGGAGGCGAGTCAGTGTCCCATAGGCCCAAGGGCCTTTAGTGGCTCTGGCCTAGACAGTATTTGCAGTTCTTGAGCTTTGGGTGGTGTCCCTTCCTCTAGTTTGGGCAGCTGTGCTGCCTCTAGATGAGCTGCTCCTCCCAGGGCTCAGGGTCTGTGGTCCACTCAGGGTCTCGTCTTCTCCAGGCCAAGCTCAAGGCAGAAGCCTATTATGTGGTGTTCCAGGCTCTAGGCTTGGAGGGAGAACTTTAAATTTGTCTGCTTCTAGGGACATAGAACCCTGGGTACAGGTGCCCAGAGTCTGCTGAGAACTTTGTCTGGTTAGTCCTGGGATCTGTCAGGAAGTTCATTTGTCTGCCTGCCAGCTTGTTTTGTGGTGAGCTTTCTGGAGTATAGCCTTGTTGATTAGTATATATTGCTTTGCTTCATGCTTCCCTCAGCAGAACATTCTTTCCCTTTTTTGAGGAGAGCCTTTGCTCCTGTGCCCTCCTTCCTTTGCAGGTTCTGCTGTTTTACAAACCTGTTGGCAGAATGACCGTAGTGGTGTTAACCTGCTGCCCTTGCGGGCCTGGGGTGTGGCCTTCAGCACCAACAGTGGGGCAGCGACGGTTCAAGGGATGATGTTGACCCCTGCTTTATTTTTGCTACCAGCCCTTTGATGGTAGAGACCTGCTGCCTGTGATGCTAGGTGTGCTACAGGGTACACCACACTCAGCCGTCTCCACGGTGTCTGTAGCCCACCGTCAACACTTTTGACATCTCTTGGCATTTGAAGATAATCCTGCCAGCCTTTGAGAATACTGGTAACTAATGGCGTAATTTCCTGGTTCATAGAGGCGCAGCCTCTGAGAAGGGCTCCTTGACAGACCCCAGTCATGGTTTTCTGACCCTGGTGCCAGCGGTGGGCAGGTTCCCATTCCTTAGGGCCAGGAGGCACAGTTTTGCCCATTTCTGGTTAGTGACGACTGTCTACTGTCTGTAGTATTCTGTTGCCTCAGCCGTGGGGGGGGGGGAGCAGTAGGTGTTTATTATTGTAGACACATCTTTTCTGCCAGTATAGAGGTTAAGAGAGGGCTTTGGGGCCATGGTGACCTCCTAGGAATGTGCTGTCGTTCCCCAGTTACCAGATTCTGGGAGGCACTGCCCCATCTTGCTGCTTCTCGTGGAGCAAAGGAGGCTGAACCCACTTAATTGTGAGTTCTGCCATTACAGCGTGGAAAGGCTGGGATTTGCTGCTTCTCAAGGGCAGGGCTCCACTTCCCAGCACTTTTGATATCTAGAGGCCAGCTCGTCTATCTTATAGATAGCTGGTGAGTGTGTGATAACTTTCTGTCATTGCTCCTCTGCCTGTCCCAGGCTAGAGCCCTGTCCCTGACAGGCTCTGTCTTCCCAGCCCCAATTTGGGACCAAAGTGCAACTCGGGATCATCGGTTGGGGAGCTCAGGTTACCCCTCTCCATAGTGTTTCCCTGGCTGAGCCCACACCAGCCCTGGGAGATGGGTGGGAGTGAAATGGGGTGGGTGCTGCTTAAAGAGGAAAGGGACCAGCGTAGTCACTAACTAGCCTGGGACCCCATCTTCCCAGCTTTGGGCCGTGCAGTGGGCGTGAGGATTCTCTCCTAGAGGCCAGGGGCCTGGCTAGTTCAGTATCCACTGCTCATTCGCTTACATCTGGCCATGTGCACGTTCCCAAGATGTAAACTGCTTTGAACTTTACAGCTGTGTAAGTTGGTTGTGTGTGTGTGCCCATTTAAAAAACAAAAACCAAACTGCATTCTAATGAGGAAAGAGGAGAATCTGGTGAAAGTTCCTTTGCTTCTGTAGAGGAAATGTAAGACTTCGAGTTGTGGAAACTGCTCTCTGCTCCTCTTTCCTGGAAGCTACACACCTGCCTACATACCCTAAGACCTGCGCCAGGATACACACGTGGCTCCATTGGTGTTGAGGCGCGCTTGCGTTTCCCTGGGTCTTGTGTGTGGTGGAGAGGAGTGCTTGGCCTGAGCCGGCCCCTTTCTGTACACCCAGCGCTGCCCGCCCGCCCGCCCGCCTGTGTCAGGTCGTATATGTCAAAATAAAGCCTCTAGAAACTAAACTCTGTCCAAGTCTTCGCGAAACCTTCATAGCCTCGGGGTGGGCCGACCCAGCTAGTCGCTCACAGGTCATCTCACTTGAGGGGAGGTGCCGGGTCATAGCTGGGGGACCGGACTGAACTGGGTTCGGACAGGTGCTGAAGGGCCAGCAGCACAGGAGCGGCTGGAAATAGGGGTTAGAGCAAGCAGTGAGGACAAGGTGAGTGGTGCTGGAGGTGGGGGGGGTCTGGGCGAGCACTGGGGGGCGGCCTCATTGGGGTGGGTCCGGCGCGCCGGGGGGGGGGGGCGGGGAAAGGGGAGGAGAAGGCGGGGCGGAAGGCGGCTGCCTCGTGGCGGACCTGGTTCCGATAGGAAGCCAAGCTAACTCCTCCAGTTCCGCCTTTAGATCCGCCAATGGGCATCTGACCCGCGAGTTCTCCATGGCAGCCCAGCGCATTGGGAATCTAATTGGGTGCGTCTGCCGCAGCGTAGCGCCGGGCGGTCGTCTGCGGACAGCCCTGCCACGTAGACGGCAGCCCATTGGCTCTCTTCCCCGGTTACGTCACTGGCTGCGCCGCCTCCGACCGGAACTCCGGGCCAGCTGGTCTCCAACCAGTTCCTCCTTCCGTGTTCTGGCTGCTCCTCGACTCTACATTAAGGTAGAGCAGACTGACGAGGTGAGGCTGGAGTCGGTCAGTCTGGCTGCTGAAGGACGCGGGGCAGGGCTCGGCGGCGGGAGTGCGCGGCGGGAGTGCGCGGCAGGAGCCGGTTAGGCGGCCTGTAGGTACTTTGGAGCCAGAGACCCACTCCTATCACCCGCAGGCGCAATGAAGGCACTGATCTTGGTGGGTGGGTATGGGACACGGTTGCGGCCGCTGACGCTGAGCATCCCGAAGCCATTGGTGGACTTCTGCAATAAGCCCATCTTGCTGCATCAAGTGGAGGCGCTTGCCGCGGTAAGGCCCTGGGTCAGCTATGGCGGGAAGAGGAATGGATAGTGACTGGGAGGCCAGGGGTGGTCATACCTTGTTACCGAGCCCGTCAATTAGCCCACCTTATTGCGTCTGGCAGGCAGGCGTGGACCACGTGATCTTGGCAGTAAGCTACATGTCACAGATGTTGGAAAAGGAAATGAAGGCACAGGAGCAAAGGGTGAGGCAGGCGTAGACTTAGTTCTTTTTTTTGGCTCCTGGGGCTTGGCTGACCACTGGAGAGAGACTCTAACCAGATGTCTTCTTCCTTCCAGCTTGGAATCCGAATCTCCATGTCTCATGAAGAGGAGCCTTTGGGGACAGGTCAGTATGAAAAGGAAGGCTTTGGGGCAAGGTTTAGGGTCAGTAAAGGGCATTAGCCCGTCTGAATGGGTGACTCTGGAGTCTACTCCAGGACCTAGACCTCTAGCAAAGTGCTAACATATGCCTTATCCCCTTCCCTAGCTGGGCCTCTGGCGCTGGCCCGAGAACTACTCTCTGAGACCGAAGACCCTTTCTTCGTTCTCAACAGTGATGTCATCTGTGATTTTCCCTTCCAAGCCATGGTGCAGTTCCACCGACACCATGGCCAAGAGGGCTCCATCTTGGTGAGAGACAGTCTTCCTTTTCTGACGTCCACGCCCTTTACCCAGTCACTGCTAGCCTAGTCTCAAACTCTTTGTGCAAAGCTGTGCAGGGTGTTTTTGGGGCAAAGCCTTTGAGATGTGGGACGGGGGACAGGCATGTGTATCAAGGATAAAGAGCGCTGGACTAGGCCTAAGGTGCCCTCCCCTCTACATCCAGGTAACCAAGGTGGAGGAGCCTTCCAAGTATGGTGTGGTGGTGTGTGAGGCTGACACAGGCCGCATTCACCGTTTTGTTGAGAAGCCACAGGTGTTTGTGTCCAATAAGATCAACGCAGGCATGTACATCCTGAGCCCCTCTGTGCTGCGGCGCATCCAGGTGTGTGGGGAGAGCCGGGGGCTGCGGTGGGACAGGCCTCTGTTGTGTGACCTACTCACAAGTCGCCCACTCCCACAGCTGAAGCCTACGTCCATTGAGAAGGAGGTCTTCCCGGTCATGGCCCAGGAGGGGCAGCTGTATGCCATGGAGCTTTCGGGTGAGCAGAGAGGCCATAGGGTGAGGGTCGTCTGTGGCTGGGCAGAGTCCTCTGATTCATCTCTCCTTCCAGGGTTCTGGATGGACATTGGGCAGCCCAAGGATTTCCTCACTGGCATGTGCCTGTTCCTGCAGTCACTGAGACAGAAGCACCCAGAGAGACTATGCTCAGGCCCTGGCATTGTGGGGAATGTACTTGTGGTGAGGCCCTTGCCCAGCCCATCACTAACCCTTTCAGGTTTGGGAGACAAGGGACCCACTCTTCCTTTCCTCAACACTCTCAGGACCCGAGTGCCCGCATCGGTCAGAACTGCAGCATTGGCCCCAATGTGAGTCTGGGTCCTGGCGTGGTGGTGGAGGACGGCGTGTGCATCCGGCGGTGCACAGTGCTTCGGGACGCCCACATCCGCTCCCACTCCTGGCTTGAGTCGTGCATCGTGGGCTGGCGCTGCCGTGTGGGTCAGTGGGTAAGTCTGTCAGCTGGGCTGGATGAGAATGAGCAGGGAACGTGTGTGCTCCACTAACAAGGCTTCCCCCCCACCCCCAGGTGCGCATGGAGAATGTAACAGTGCTGGGCGAGGATGTCATTGTTAACGATGAACTCTACCTCAATGGAGCCAGCGTGCTGCCCCACAAGTCTATTGGGGAGTCGGTGCCAGAGCCTCGTATTATCATGTGAGGGGATATGTAGGGCTGGCCAAGCCCCCCCTCACCATCAAAGGTGTAGCAGTCACGACACTTCAGCAGACCCTGGACTTGGTGCCTTCTGTCTAGGGCAGCATGGAGGAATCTGAATCTGAAGCTCTGGGACATGTGCCTTCTGATGGGGACACAGACTGACAGGATCCTGCTGGGCATAACCCACAAGCCCTACTCCCTCAAGAAGAGCTGGGCCAGGGCTGTATGGAATAATAATTTAATGCTCACTGTAGCCTGGATCGCAAGTCAAGCTCAGGCATACTTAGGGCCATGGCTGGGCTGCCAGGCTACACATAGACAGATGGTGGAGGTGCTCAGAGTGAGGGTGATGGGGAAGGCCAAAAGAGCTCCTAAGTAGGGCTCGGTCTGGGTCTGGTGGTGGAGGTTCCAGGTTGGTGCGAGCTGTGTGCAGTGGGCTGGCCTAGGCAGCTGAGGAGGTGGCACTTGTGTTGGCTGCCTTGTCCCAGTCCTCTACGGATGCAATGGTGGCTTTGCAGAAGAAGCAGTCCTTGTTGTTCATCAGGTGCTGGTTGATGCAGGCTCTACAAGAGGGAAGGGGAATGAGCACTGCCTTGTGTGTCTTAGTTGCCCCAAGTCCATGGGGCCCACTTACTTGCAGGATTTGTGGCCACAAGGCTGGAACACAGCAGAGATGGGGTGGGCATAGCAGATTGGGCAGAGGTCCTCTTCACTGGTGGGCTATGGGATGGAAGTGAAGAGTGGGTTGGGGCCATGCCTGTACCTACCCTGGTGTGTACGAATGTATTAAAACGACATGGGCCTATGTGTCTTAGCCCCACTCACCAGGGAGGCAGCAGCTGCCTGGGCAGACGCAGCAGTCAGATGTGCCAGCATCTGTTCCACCTGGGCGAGCTCCTCAGCACTGATGTAGTCTGTGTCTGGGTTAGTGGTAGACGGTCAGTGCCTCTTGAATACACCCAGGCAGGAGATTTGCTTTTCTTGAGCATCCTGAGCTCAGGAGACCCTGAAACTCTTTCCTGACCCACCCCTGGCCCACTTACAGCTCTGTAGAGAGAAGCGCTTCCGGTCAGGGGCAGGCAAGGCAGTGCCGGGTGCTAGGGGTTCTGGCTGCCCCAGGAGATAGCATATGGACCGGAGCTGGAAGCAGGGATCAGCCAGGAGCACAGAGGTGGCTTGCTCTGTCCTAGACAGGGGGAGGGTGCAGAGGTAGCAGGAAAGCTTTGAGCTTATGTGAAGATTATCTCCATGGTGGGGCTGGGTGACAATCCAATCCAGTGGCATTCTTTCTATCTTAAGTCCTGAACAACCTATGTGCCAGTTAAGGGAAGAGGTGTTGATGGCTCACAGGGTAATGCTGCTTCTACCAAACGTGACAACTTGAATCTGATTCCCAGGAACCATAGAATGAAGGGAAAAACACTCCCACACACAAATCAGTACATCTAAAGGGAGAAGGGTGAGGATTCCACCTAACCTATAATACATTAATCCTTCAAAATCACTTAGAGAACATTAGCCACAAAACACTCTGCCCAGACTTGAGCCCTTTTGCTGAAGTCAGGCTTCCAGCCAAGCGAACTGAAAACTCTGGAGCCCTCTGGTGGTCACACTGGGTCTTCAAGTGCCAGGGTAAATGGCTGCCCCGCCCCTTAGCGGCAGGAGCCAATGGGAGCTTGGGTCCCCACCCCTGGGCAGTCATTTCCTAGAGAGTACTTAGGATCCAGTCAGAAAGGCGCTTGGAGAAGCTAGCGAGCTTGAAAAGAAGTGCTGGGGCCCCACCTCACACCCCAGACCAGAAGAGCAGGAGGTGGCGGCCGGGCGGGTGGAGCCGGCGTTGTGCCTCTCAAGCCACGGGCCACAGGGACCCACAACCGGCTGTGGAGAAGTGGGTGAGTCCTGGAGCTGTGGACAGCACTGAGCCCCTCTCTTCCCTGGCGGCCACTGCCATGGCCTGGCTGGTGGTGCCAAGCATACTGCTGTGCCTGTTGTGTGCTGGATTCGGCACCTCAGATTTGGAGGCCCTTCTGCCCCCTGCTCCCCACAACTGCCCCAATAGCTGCATCTGTGCTGCTGATGTGTTAAATTGCGCGGGCCATGGGTTACAGGACGTGCCGGTAGCGTTACCTGCCACCGCTGCAGAACTCGATCTGAGTCACAATGCACTCGAACGCCTGCACCCTGGCTGGTTAGCACCCCTCTCCCGCTTGCGTGCCCTGCACCTAGGCTACAATAAATTGGATGTGCTGGGCCGTGGTGTCTTCACCAATGCCAGTGGCCTGAGGACACTTGATTTATCATCTAATATGTTGAGGATACTCCACACCCATGACCTGGATGGACTGGGGAGGCTGGAGAAATTGTTGCTGTTCAATAACAAACTGGTGCACTTGGACCCGGATGCCTTCAAGGGCCTGAGTATGCTCAGACAGCTCTATCTCAGCTGCAATGAACTCGCCTCTTTTTCTTTCAATGACCTGCACGGTCTGGGGACAACGCACCTGCGCACTCTAGACCTATCCTCCAACTGGCTGGGTCACATCTCCATCTCTGGGCTGGCTGCACTGCCAGCTTTCCTCAAGAATGGGCTCTACTTGCACAACAACCCACTGCCCTGTGACTGTCGCCTCTACCACCTGCTCCAGCGCTGGCACCAGCGGGGCCTGGGTGCCCTGCGTGATTTCGCACGTGAGTACACATGCTTGGCCTTTAAGGTCTCAGAGTCCCGAGTGCGCTTCTTTGAGCACAGCCGGGTGTTTGAGAACTGCTCAGCTGCTGCAGCTCTAGGCTTAGAGCTGCCTGAAGAGCAGCTGCACACACAGGTGGGGCAGTCCTTGAGGCTCTACTGCAACAGCAGCATGCCCGCTGCACGAGTGGCCTGGGTCTCACCGAAAAACGAGCTGCTTGTCGCACCAGGATCTCAGGACGGCAGCATTGCTGTGCTGGCTGATGGCAGCTTAGTGATACGCAGGGTGCGAGAGCAACATGCAGGCATCTTTGTGTGCCTGGCAACCGGGCCCCACCTGCACCACAACCAGACTCTTGAGTTCAATGTGAGTGTGCACAAACCTCGCCCCGAGCCGGAGGCTTTCAACACAGGCTTCACCACACTGCTGGGCTGCATCGTGGGCCTGGTGCTCGTGCTGCTCTACTTGTTTGCCCCACCCTGCCGCGGCTGCTGTCGCTGCTGCCGGCGGGCCTGCCGTAGCTGCTGCTGGCCCCGAGCCCCCAGTCCACTCCAGGAGCTGAGTGCACAGTCCTCAGTGCTCAGCTCTACACCACCAGACGCACCGAGCCGCAAGGCCAGTGTCCACAAGCATGTGGTCTTCCTGGAGCCGGGCAAGAAAGGTCTCAATGGCCGTGTGCAGCTAGCAGTAGCTGAAGACTTCGATCTGAGCAACCCCATGGAGTTGCAGCTCAAGGTTAGCTCTGAGTCAGCCAGTTCCACAGGCTCAGAGGGTCTCATGATGACCTAGACTGCCTGGGTGTCCCCACGCAGGCCATAGACCTGCTGCTGCTTGCCTGGTTCGCTGACAAAGCCATCTAGAGAACTGACATTTGCTGGTGGGATGCACGGTACCTACTCCTGCAACTGCATGCGGGCCTTGACCTGTATTGCAATCGTTCTACTCACTGGTAAAAGCCTTGACCTGTACTGCAATAGTTCTACTCACTGGTAAAAGCCTTGACCTGGGGCTGGAGAGATGACTCAGAGGTTAAGAGCACTGACTGCTCTTCCAGAGGTCATGAGTTCAATTCCCAGCAACCACATGGTGGCTCACAACCATCTGTAATGAGATCTGGTGCCCTCTTCTGGTGTGTAGATGTTTGTAATAAATAAATAAATCTTAAAAAAAAAAAAAAAAAGCCTTGACCTGTACTGCAATAGTTCTACTCACTGGTAAAGGGGCTGAGGCCCCCCACTTGCCTCCTACTCTGCCTGGCTCAGGATAAGGCCTCAGACCACTAGAGTCTGCTTCCCCTAGGACCTCTGAGTGACCAAACGTCCCGTGAAGATTAGGGACCAAGGCCATCTAGTAAGAGCCCTTGCATTAGTGCTCTGGGACCGCCTCAGGATTGATGCAGATGTTGGGGTGTGCTATAGCAGTCAAACATGCCACTTTCCCCTCCCTGCCAGGGAGCTCACCAAGCAGGGAGAAGGCAGCTCAGAAGTTCCAGCCTCCACTCTAGGACGGGAGGAATAAACGAGCCCTTCCTCTGCTGAAAGAGTACCCTGTCTACAATGACCACCCAGCCTCCGGAAAGCTCTACAACTCCTGCAGAGTCTGGTGGGCATGCACGCCTCCTTCAGGACACTCCTGCAAGAATAGCCCTGCTGTCTTCAGGCAACAGTAGAGCCAATCCCATGGGCTCATAACCCAGTAAGAAAAAGTCTGGTGAACACCACTAATCTGGGGCTCATGTCCCTGGAGGGCAGAAGGCCTCTTAGACTGGCACTCATCTTAGCCTAATGGCTAAAGCAGTATCCTGAATTCATATGCCTCTACCACTCCTCCAGGCATTTAGGGAAGGAGCCCCTCCCAGGAGGAGCTGGCAGCCCTGTATCCTAGATGACTATTAAGGCATTTTGTAATAAAGTGGTACATCTTCACTGCCGGGCATTCCCAGATGGGTAGCTTTTGTGTGCTTGGCTCTTGATCCAGCAGGGTGTCCCTGACAGAGGATGGCACATCTTCCAAGTCTGGGCATTTATGCCCTGCAAGAGGCATGGCTGCAAGCTAATCCTACCCTGCCGTTAACACCTGTTCACACCTCAACTCCTACCTTTGCCTCAGTGTCCCAAACTAGATTCTGGGGTTCATTCTGAGACAGAGAAACATGTATGATGAGGCCCTGCCCTATGAGCCCCTCCCCAAAGGGCACACTCAGTTCCCAAGGGGCCAACGGTCCCCAATACTCACTCTGAGGCTGGACCATGCACCAGGAGGCGTACCAGGATGCCGGTCACTGCCACCAGGATAGGGTAGTGGTCCACACTCTCCAGGCCTGAGGGGAGGGAAGGAAGATGAGGCTTTCATACAGCTCCTGGATGATACCACTGGCCTTTCCCACCATTCTTCCTACATAAAGGCGAACTGAGGCTGGGAGTGCACAGTCCTGGTGCAGAAGCTAAGGCCTTGGTGTGCTGAGGTGCAGGGGATCTAGATCCTTACCAGGAAGCTGTAGGGTGACTACACGGTCAAACAGGTTCCTCTCAGCTGTCACCCGGTTCAGCACCTGGTTCAGCAGCTGTGAGGGCAGGAGCCTATTGGTGGATGGGCAAGCGCACCCCTTGAGTTATCCCCAGGGTCCTACCCTCCTTGCCCAGATGGACACACCTGTGCAAGACGCCGAAGTAGCATCTCAGAGGTAGGGCGGGACCAGTCAAGGAAGATCTCAGGCACCAGTGTGATGGTCATTTCCAAGACACGCAGCAAGCTGACCGACAGGTCAAAGCAGGTGGCACAGACCTTGAGCTGCCGGCTGTCCACAAAGTTCCGCTCTAGGCGTTCAGCAGCCTGTTGAATCTAAGTCACCAACAGAAACGCAGGGAGCAGTCAGAGGCCTTGCAACAGTGCTTGGCCTTGGTCTCTGCCCACCCCTACCCTGACACACCAGAGCCCACCTCCTGGATCATGCCGATGAACTCCGAGAAGGCCCAGTTAAGCTGGTTAAGGACACTGTTGAGGAAGCTAGGTGCCACGTCAGGGCCTTGTCGCAGCAGGTCTGCCATGTGCTGCTGCAGCAGGGTGGAGGGGCAGGGCTCTGGGCAGACGAAAGCAGCGTTACCAGGGGCTTCCAGACAGACCCTGCCTGTCAGAGGCTGTTACCAGGGGCTTCCAGACAGACCCTGCCTGTCAGACGCTGTTATATACCGGAACAGTGGTGTAAGAACAGAAGGATGACTCTCTAAGAATGTTCAGATCATGAAAGGAGAGGATTGGCACAGAACTGCTTTGAAGTTAGGAACAAGTATGCCGCCCTCCCTCCACTAAACAAGCCACAGGCTGCAGACATTTCCAGCACTGCTATACCCCACAGGCTGCAGACATTTCCAGCACTGCTATACCCCACAGGCTTCAGACATTTCCAGCACTGCTATACCCCACAGGCCGGGAGCAGCCAGACAGCTGTTGACCGGACCTGAATCAAATTCTGGATCATATGCCTGCCTGTCGGGAAGTGTCAGATGTACACCACGTAGACCATTCCCACAGTAGCAAGGCTAGCTTCTGCAAGAGCCCAGGCTGAGCCCCGCTGTCCTCTGTTGCCCTTGGCCTGGCCTTGGCATACGGCTTAGGTGGTGAGCGCCAAGTCTGGGCTGGAAGGGCAGCAGTAACCAGAGCTCTCAGCTGCAGCTGGCCCAACATACCTCTCCAACCCTCTGATGCAAATCAATAGTCCCCGTACAGAGGGAGGGCATCTGCCCCCACTGCCGTCCCCACTTGCAGTTCAGTTCCGTCCTAGGCAATTAGCAAGGACTTGTTCTATGAGTGTGCACAAGACTTTCGAGCCCTCTGGGAACGCCCAGAGACCACGGCACTGGCTGCAAGGGCACAAACCCTGGTGAGGAATGTGGCCTCCACAAGCTACATAGCTCAAGGGATTGGCCAGGCTCAGGTGAAGACCCTCGGGCTAACGAGACTTTGATAGGCACAGGGGACGGCACAGCCTCTATTCCTAGCCAAACCTGAAGCCCACTTTGGGTCCTGATCAGCGTCTAGCTTGTGATCCTCCAGTCGAGGGTCCAAGGCCAGAAGACAACAAAGGAGACGCACTTCAGGGATATGGCTGAGGGAGGGGAGGCGGCACAGGGCAAGGACTGGAGTCCGTACCCTGCATAAGCTGCCAGCGAGCTGGAGAGGTGGACCCCTCACTGTGAGCCCAAGGGGACAACAGGACTTGCCCCAGAGCATCACAGGGCTGGGAGGGAGTAGGAGCCTGAAACCAGTTCAGGCAGGAGACAGGCTTGGAGGAACAGGAGACTTTTTGAGTATCAGGAAAGGGCTACCAGCTTGTCTAGGGCAGCCACTAGAACCTGTCAAACCTGGATACTCACTTTGAAGGCTGGGCAAATTGGCATCCTCTGGTTTGGTTTTCAACAGATGTGGCAGCCGTGTATAGCGGTACCCAAACCCACAGCCCTGGGGGTGAGACAGCAGGAATCAGAGGGGCACAGCGACACTCCCTTCCAAATGGCCTTGGCCATTGCCCTCAGGTCAGACTTACCCTCCAAAGCCGTACCAGGATCCAGTTGGTCTGGGCCCAGGGCCGTTGCTCATAGGGTGCCAAAAGGTTCCTCACCATGGCGATGCGCCTAAGAAGGTGAGGGATGGCAGGCACAGGAGGCTGGGCATGATGCTGTACAGAGTGGGGTGTACCCCCCAGTCTCCTACTTACTGCTCCTCAGGGATCCGTTCCACAGCCCGCAGAGAGTGTGGGTAGCACACGTAGCTGGCCAGGGCCTGCATCAGCGAGTCTCGAATGTCTGTCAGGATATGCTAAGCCTCAGCAAATCTCTGGCATGGGCTGGGACCCCCAAGCCTAATGCCCACATGGCTACAGTTTAGGTAGAAAAGCGTGCCAGACATGCCACTCCACCCCCATTCCCAGAGCTCTCTGGAGGACACCTCACCAGTGCCTACGATGCGTGGGTCAGCGAAGTGTTTGGCGAGGGTGGCAGCCAAGCGGGTCAGGGTTTCTTCATAGCCTACAAAGGAGGGCAGTGAGAACTGCTGGCTAGCAGTGGGGTTCCAGAGAAGGCATGTCCTTTGTCAGGGAGGGCGGGCTTTGTGGAGCAGGCCCTAGAGCTGGCTGTGGGGCCAGTCTGGAACCACGTTAGCACCTAGAGACATCGGGCAAAGCAACGTAACACACTGGCAATCGGGAAGGGGAGTGGGCAGATTCTGATGAGGACCCTGACTCAGGCTCTAACTCATTCTGGAATGCATCTGATGACTCAGCAGTCAAAGCAGCCTGGTCTCCAGAGCTCTGGAGACAGAGCCACACCGAGGACTGCATAGGCACAAGAAGTGAGGGGCCTGGCAGCTTGCAGCCTCCCCACTGCTAGGCCCAGCTTGGGTCAGTGGTCTTGGCGAAACAAAGGCTCCTCTTGAGCCCCAGCAGGGCACGCCTCTTGTTATGCTTCACAAAACAAGCGACTGTGTCTGTCTTACTGCCGCTCTGAGACCAGTAGCCAGGCGGCAGAGTGAGGAGTCAACCGGCTGGGAGAGCACAGCCGCTATCAACCCGGCAAAGGAGACAGCTGGGGTCCCCACCGTCTGCTGTCCGTGGACACCTCTCTGCTGCTGTGTCAGAGCCTGCAGGCACCAGTTCAGGACAAAAGCTTGGTGGGGATGGTTGGGTCACGACAATGAACCTGGGGCTCGCCAAGTTCATTCTAAAGGCCTCTTCTGCACTCCCCTCCCCAGACTGTGAGTGGTCCCATCACCTGGGAGCTCTTCCATGCTGTGCACAGGGCCAAAGTAATTCTTGAGAGCACTGTAGCTGTTGATGGCCACGCTTAGGTAGAACTCAGGCATGAAGGCAAAGAGAGACCCTGTGCGGTCCCCGTGCTCGATGGTGCGTAGGCAGACACGCAACAGCCAGTAGATATCCAGCATCTTCTCCTGCAGGAGGCACACAGAATGCTGCTGGGCCACTTACTGTGAGGGACAGGGTCTGGCCTAGGGATCAGGAAGGCCTCCCCATGACAGTGACTGAGACCTGGACTACAGGAAGTGTGAGTAGTGGCCTAAGCAGAGGGACAAAGCCCTCAGCAGGCAAGGGTCAGCAAGACCAGGGCAGTACCATGACCCAAA